TATTCTTTTCCCACTTACTGATTATGCATATAACGTCATCAATGAAGATGTATTTCTCTATACAAAATCCTCTGGGAAATTCTTTAACATATCCAGGTTGAGGGCAAAAGTCAAAGTTAGGAAGGTACTAATTAGGGAACTCATCTACGCTGATGATGCAGCTATTTTTACTTATTCAGTATTCCCTGGTCGACCTGCTGCATTTTTGCACATGTCTGACTTTTGGCTGCTTCTTTTGAAATTTACTATGAGTGGCAATAATACAAACGATTCCTATTTAGGGCCTTAAGTGGAGAAAATGAGATGGATCGACTTAATAACGAAAAATAATAATAATAATTAAAATAATAACAATAATGAGTTTTGTTTCTCTTTAACGATACTCGACTCTGGCAGTGCCAGAGAATGAATAATCGTCTGTTTCTAACATAATAATAATATAAAACATTTTCCTATGAACCAATGCTGCCATGTTTGTCGAATGGGTATCCCGCTAAAAAATTATTTCAGATGGCAGCTATTCGACGGAGTTAATAATAATGCGCATGTTTGTGATGGACTATCCTTGCAATTGTTGAGAGCTAATGATACCAGTGGCGTAGCATGATACCCGTGGGCCCGGGTTCCAGAATATATTGGTGGGCCAATAGACATTCCAATGCAAGTAGAGTAGCTTTTTAAAAATCTTCTTACGTTTGACTCTGCTAGAATTCCAACACGAATTCAAAGTCCATGTTTGTACAAATTTTTGAACAGAATGAAACGAGGTAACGGAGTTTAAAATCTATAAAGAAATGTTTTATGAGTCCAAGTTCCCATTCTACACATTGACATTCCTAAAACACTTTTAAGTGTCAAACTTTGAAACATTGATACAAACTAGTATCTAGTTCTACGTCCATTATTTTTAACATTAAATAGATCGAATATTCATTTACTGAACATTTCTCTGGCCTTCTAAGTAAAGTAGCAAAGTAAGAAACCAGTGCATCTATTTTTTAATGCGCGAGCGTCTTCTTCTGGTGAAACAATGCCCAAAAGGCCATTCTAGTATCCAATCGTATTGGAAGCACCTTCATAGCCTTCGCTAGTAGTTTATTTAAGGATAAATGTTGTTGTTTTTTAAATTACTTGGAGCATTTGTTCAGCAAATTCTGCTTACGTTTGAAACTCACATATATAAAAACCTAGAAATGACAATCTAATTTCTATTTCTTTGGATGTTCCTCAACGGAGATCACTAAAAACAGTATCAAAAAAATAATACGAATTTGATATCAACTTTTTATTTGTCTTGAGCGCTGCCACCAATGAAAGACAAATGGTACAGAATTGATATCGTATAGTACCGGTATTTTGTCCAGAACTGCATTGTCCAACAGATCTCGTTTTGAATGTGTTGGGCTTTGATTTCCTGTCAAATTTGAACTTCATAGAAATAAAATTTTCTGTTTTTGTATAAATATATGGCGTTAAATTTCTTTAAGAGCAATGAACCAAGTTTCAACCTAATACTAAGCATTGGTCAGAGACACTATTCCATGATCCATTTAGTTATCGTCTATGTCCTAGATCTTTTTATAAACCTGCTCCCCGATTCGGTTTCCTCATTAATTGCAATAGCACAAGCATGTTCAACTTGAACGATTCCTATGTTGACACTCTGATGTTTTTTTGGCTTGCTAAATATTTAATGTTATTTTTATTTTGTTTAGATTTCATCTCCTTTTTATTCTGATATAATGATTACATTAACATTTTGTATACCATACAGAGGACAACAAAACAATGTGATGAAGATTTTCGAGGACACATCGCCTTGATTGAATGTCTTACACTATTTCACAATGTAAACTTCTTCGGAGTTAATAGTTGTTGTTTTTTTAATGTCAAACTAATTTTTTCTTTATGTCGAACTTATTATTTTTTTATGTCAGACTATTTTTTTGTGTGGTCAGACTACCAGATTATACTTTCACTAACAATAACACACAAGACAAACAGGTTAACTCATCCACGTTGAGCAGTCAAGGTTATTGAGAAGTTCTATATAGGTCCTGATCATTTACACTGTTCAAACTAATATACACACTGCAGTTCATCAATTATAAAGTCATAGTCGCAGATATACGAGCATATAATACTATTGAGCAGTCAAGGTTATTGAGAAGTTGTATACAGTTCATGATCAAATGCACTGTTCATTGTAATATATCCTATTGAGTTCATCAATTATAATGTCATAGTCGCAGATAGGCCTATAAGAGCATTAGCGATTGGTCAAAACTAGATCAGATTTTCATGTTTATTGCAAAGAGCGAAGATCCAAATTTGTTCATATTTAATGATTTTGTTGATGCGTTTACCTGCTGACAGATCAGACTGAAAGCTAATTAAGGAAAAAAACATACACCTATGAGCGAAATAAAATGCCGATATTACATATTTTATATACAAAACAAAATAAAAACAAATTGAGCTTTGAAAAAATTGAATAATTTGCAGCTGTATCGAAATTTTATTTAGTGACAATCAGGACTATCCCTGTTTCTTAACCAAACTCTCCCCATCCCCCCTCCATTCCTGTACTACTACCAATGGTTTTATGAACAGACAAGGAAACAAAAAGAATGGGACGATATGGAAACGATTGTCACCTCGAACGAGCGAATAGGGCTAGCCACCATTACAATTTACAAAACCTGATGGAAAGCTAATCCTTACATTAAAGCTTCAAACACTGGTTTTGAAGTTAATATTAATTGTTATACAACGTTCAGGACATTTTGAAGGAGCTTTTTACATTTTATTTTTATCGGTTTTTACAAAAAGTGAATTTATGTTTTCACTTTGGTGTCACCCCCAAGTTCTCAACAAGTCAAGAGCCATGGGCCCAAGCCCAGTGGGCCCCCAATGGTCGTGGGCCAGGTTTCATTGAGCCCTTTCGCGTCATGGATGCTACGCCACTGAATGATACACATGTTTGTGATAGACTATCCGTGCAATTGTTGAGAGCTAATGATACATGTTTGTGATAGTGCAATTGTTGAGTGCTAATGATACACATGTTTGTGACAGACTATCCGTGCAATTGTTGAGAGCTAATGATGCATGTTTGTGATAGACTATCCGTACAATTGTTGAGAGCTAATGATACACATGTTTGTGATAGACTATCCGTGCAATTATTGAGAGCTAATGATACATGTTTGTGATAGACTATCCGTGCAATTGTTGAGAGCTAATGATACATGTTTGTGATAGACTATCCGTGCAATTGTTGAGAGCTAATGATACACATGTTTGTGATAGACTATCCGTGCAATTATTGAGAGCTAATGATACACATGCTTGTGATAGACTATCCATGCAATTGTTGAGCTAATGATACACATGTTTGTGATAGACTATACGTGCAATTGTTGAGAGCTAATGATACATGTTTGTGATACACTATACGTGCAATTGTTGACAGCTAATGATACACATGTTTGTGATAGACTATCCGTGCAATTATTGAGAGCTAATGATACACATGTTTGTGATAGACTATCCGTGCAGTTGTTGAGAGGTAATGATACACATGTTTGTGATAGACTATCCGTGCAATTGTTGAGTGCTAATGATACATGTTTGTGATAGACTAATCGTGCAATTGTTGAGAGCTAATGATACACATGTTTGTGATAGACTATCCGTGCAATTACTGAGAGCTAATTATACACATGTTTGTGATAGACTATCCGTGCAATTGTTGAGAGCTAATGATACACATGTTTGTGATAGACTATCCGTGCAAATAATGCACTAAACATTTCATAAAAAGCCAAAGTCACGGAACCAAAGACCGTACGTAGCTCGAGAGCTACAAATTGAAACGATGTAATTGCAAAGTAAAATATATTTTTAAAAGCTAAATGTATTTTAAAATAAAATCGGCATCGTGTCTGCTTATAATGTGTTCCTAAGAAAGTTAATTTGATTTTGAAAGGACGATAATTTGAATCTACTTTCGAATTTACCATTAAAGATTATTTATGAAATTATCTCCCTTTGTAATTTGTGCTTGCCATGTATTAAGGTGACATCCTATTCAAATTTAAAAAAATCTACAATAGTGTGCACAGAAACAGAGAAAAAAAACGTAGTTATTTCCCCATACATAAACAATAATAGAATTAGTTCATTTTCCATACTCAACCATTCTTTTTCCAGAAGCATAATACACTACAGTACTACACCTTACCCTCTGCTTTTTCATCTTCGTACTACTTCCTTATATGTTAGCCTCTGTTACTTTCAACATAATTTTTGTAATTCTTGAATTTGTTATTTCGAACGCTGTACTGTTTTTCTTAAGTCCTTAAATTGAACAGCTCTTTTCAGTCTGAAGTACTTGAAATAACAGTTTATCTCAAGCTACAATCAGTCTTTAAATTTAGCAGTTCTTCCCAAATCTGCTGCAGTTAAAGGTAACAGTTGATTGCAGTCTATAAAATTGGCAGTTCTTTGAGTAACATAATAACTCAATGTGAATACACAGATTTGTATAAGATAAACTTTACAGTTTATATAATTTAAAGTTTGATTTTTTTGTCTTAACTTATTTCTTTCATTACATTCATGTATGGACTAAAAGTAACTAAAGTACCCCCCCCCCCCTTTTCAGACCTTTGCGGGCAAATGATGTTAGGGTTATCTGTTTCTGTTCTGTACGGTTAAAGAGGGTGTCGTGTGGCCAGCACAACGACATATTACATTTTCACCAAGTCTGGTACCCATTAGAGTTAGGTGGACTCATGGGTCCCTAAAATAGGTGTTAAAAGTTTCTGACAAAAAAAATTGTTCTGAAGATTTTTTAAAAAATAATGTGTTTTTGTTGATAATGTTCCTGGTTTCTATTTCATTTATTCAAAACTTTTTCTAGTTATAAGCATCTCTTTTGAAAGGAGAATAATTATTGAAATTACAACAATAGTAAAAATAAAGAACAAATGAAATTCTTCAAAACCATATCTTTAATGGAATGTTAAAAGTTAGGTCTATTATATAAATAGAACAATACATGTTAATTTTTGTTTGATTTGATAACATTGATAATAAGTGCTGAGTTTCTATCCCTGTAGGATTATCTTTCTAATGATATAAACTAATTTCATTGAAAGTGTCCATCAGACATTGAGTGGCTTTGGGTCAAGATTTAGCTTACAGAAAGTGTCGCTAAGTCAACAGTCTGAATCAAAATGATCAATGATCAGTATTGGTCAAGTCTGGACGCCAGCCACCCAAATGTCTTCATGGGACATCCTGGTGGAAATTTTATGTGCGCTTATATGAAAATATAAAAAATGATTTTTGTTTCATGGAATGCAAACATACAGAAGAATATAGAACAAATTCAATAACACTGCAATCAGTGACTATACAATTATTCTGTACAATATTTACATAGCCACAGAAAGTGAATGAACAAAGATATAGTGTTGCAGTACGTAACACTTAACATGAACAAAAAGATAAATCAGTTTGTTTTGTTACAATTATATAGCCACTTAAATCAGTTGATACACTTTTCTTGCTATTTCCTCAGAAATAAAAATATAGTCATGAATCTCAAAAAAAAAAAAAAAAAGTATATTTTAGCTATTGAATTGGATTTGGTTGCGTTATTTATAGTCAAACTGTTGGACACCTGATGGATTGTTCATGATCCTAACAATAACAAGCTATTATTGATGCAGGCCTGTGCTAAGATTTCTTAGTTTGACATGCGTTTATTTATTGTGATTACAGAGTGCCCCCCTCCCTTTCAACCCGTCTCCTTTCTCTATCAATGTTATCTTACTCTCTTTAGAACCCAGCCATTAGATTGATTGATTATAGATTTTCAAAGGGTTCAGTGATTTTTTTGCATTATGCCGCCGCCCCTCCCACTTATCGCTTCCTAAGCCTAACGGCCCGGTGCCATGAGACTGGAGGATACCAAGATATCGATACCACTGACTAATCTGGCCTGTTGGTTAGCCAGAGGCTTTTCACAACTATTATGAGAAGTGCATAAACAGTCAATTGAAAATATTAACATGACAACGGTTAACCCAACCCAACCCATACCAGAGATATCGAGTGAGGTGGGGCGGTGAGTCACCAGAGATAGGACAGATGAGTGAGAAGAAGTGACTGGGGAAAGAGGAAGACACTGACCAGAGAGGGGAACGAGGAAGACAGTGACCAGATAGGGGAAAGAGGAAGATAGTGACCAGATAGGGGAAAGAGGAAGATAGTGACCAGATAGGGGAAAGAGGAAGACAGTGACCAGAGAGAGGGGAAAGAGGAAGACAGTGACCAGATAGAGGGAAAGAGGAAGACAGTGACCAGAGAGAAGGGTGAGGAGGGGGATGGTCAGAGAAAAGAAGTGGGTGGCTACCTGGCGTTCGGTTGTCTCTATGGTCCCGGGTTCATACCCTCCTCACTGTCATCCCCGTCGTCCTGCGGGAGGTTTGAACTAGAAAGTCAATTAGTGAGAGAGGGTCTAAATAGAGGCAACAGAGAAGGAGTGAGGAAGCGAAGAAATAAGGAAGAGCGGGACGAGAGAGAGAGGGAGTAAAGAAAAGAGGGCATGAGGACTAGAGGAAGAATATCAATGAGTGTAAAGATCAATCTCAAATCATTTCCCGTGCATCTATTCAACAAGTTTCGATTAGCTTCTCAATTATTTCATCAATACACCACGGGACACTTGTGCACGAAGGCAGGTGAGACTCAGAGGGGAGCTTTTGTTCACAATGTCGAGTGACATGCAAAGTAATAATATCAATCAAGGTTCAAACGAGACTCCGAAGCTAACATTACTTCTAGATCTATAACGAACTGTGTAAAAGCATTATAAAACAAAACGAGGTATAGAGTTGCGTCAAATAGAGAATCGCTGCACAGTGTCCTCCCCCCCCCCCCCCAACTCTTCCAGTGTGAGTCGAGCATGAAACAAGTCATTATATCGACCAGCATGACGTCAGGCCACAATTAGTTGGGTCTCATCTTGTTACAGATGAACTACCATCACCTTGACCTGGTGTGTGTGCCTCGGAGGGAACTGTTGATCTTAACTCTCTGCCGTCTCCTCACTGTGACATTGCATCATACAAAAATATGTTGTTCCATAAAAACAAAATAATAACAGCCTACTCTAAATAATCCTTTGAGGACTCTTTCATATTTTTTTAATTTAAAAAAATACAAAAATATTTTAAAACGTATCTCACTCTCATTAATCTGTCTTCCCCAAAATGTTGTTTTGTTTTTGTTTTTAAACAAGAAAAAACTAAACATTTTAGTATATAGATACATATACACTTGAAGAATTATCTATCAACGTGGAAATACAGTGTCAAAGTCATGAATAGTTCCAATTCTATGTCCATAAAATACAAGGTCATTTAAATTACAATATTAATTTAAAAAAAAAATCACATTACAGTACACTAGTTAGAAATGCTTTCAATACGTGGGCAATATACACACAATGACAAAAAATAAAACACACGTACAGCCTAATTACATTCTGAAACAAAGTGATCACGTCAATAAATACGTGTTCCAGGTGTAGACCTACTTTAGTTAGAAACTGTATCCATAGACTTAGAGATGAAATGACCGTTAACAAAAGTTAAAACTAAATCTCCTAACGTAAGTGAGTGTAGAGCATTGAACTGAAGTATTGATCAATCATAGACTTTACTTAGCCTAATAAACATTTTTTTTAAAGTTACGCATGCAATAATATAAAGCAAAAACATTTGATATTCCTTACGTTTAAAAGTGATATGGTTTATTGTTTTCGTCTAGTTTGTATTGCGTCATCAAACTGTGCGTTGGTAGTTTCTAACGTTGAGTGATCGTTTCATTCTTGGGTCTTGAGATTGGCCAATCAGGAGTACGTTTGTCTAGCGTGAGTGGTCTGTTCTCCTCCGGACAGGATGTTGTGCAGGAAGTTGATCATCATGACAAGGTGACCTGGCAGGTAGGTCACGATAGTATAGCCAATCAAAGAAGCCACAGCTAGCATGATGATAGGTACATTTAGTTAAGGACAATACTGAATGAGAAAATTAATCATTAAGATCTACAGCTACAGCTGATATACAACTAAAATGACAAAACAAATGGTAATATTCTTTAGAATAGATGTCCTCCATCTATCAAACACTACTGGACCTATTAGGCTAATATTCGAAGAGTTTAAGTTTTGATGGTTTGTTTCAGATTATTCTTGAGATAACTCTTGTTTGAAAATAACGTCAGACGTAACATACAAACAGAAAGTAGGAATAGATATAAGTTTATGTTTTGAAGTGTCTGGCAATCAAGTGTGGCCTGTAATAGTAATGCCACCCTTTGGTTTTCTTCGTCTACTCACCTCACGGCAAATCAATGAAGAAAGAAACTCAGTGTTACAGTAAGTAATAGCAACCGAATATATATATATATAAACTGCAAGCCTTTATATAGATCCTAGGCCTACATGTTCCTGACAGATTACTCGTAAAAAATAAGAAAAAAAGCCAAGAAGCTCTAAAGACGAACGTTATGAACAACTCAGTCCACAGCTAGTCGACAGTCTGGTTCACATTACAGATCACTGGGAAGTCACACAGCGTAATGTCTGTCATCAATGCTGTTACATATCCGTTGGTTGGAAAGAACCAACATGTATATCTTTAAAACATGTAGCACAAAGTCAAGTAAAATCTGGGGCATGAGCGATGGATTCTGTGAGTTTTATATAGTTGTACAGCAATGAAGTGAATGAAAACTAAAATAACACTATTAATCAGAAGGTTGACAAGCTATTAAAGGGATAACAAGTTAAGAATCATCTCCTAATGAGAAATTGAGATCAGTTGTTCATGATTATTGACTTGTAGCACCAAACTGCTGGTAGACAACTAAACCGCTGCAGACGTATTATATTTTTAGTCTAAGAAACCTGAAATAATTTGAATATAATATTTGTGAACAAAATTTTATTACAATTAGACAAATTTAACTTGAGATGAGAGGAAATGAAGTAAACTTATTTTAAATAAATAAATCTCACTATCAAAACACTTTAAACTCTGGCATCTAGGAGTCTTCTCTCGTACCCAAGACGGCTTACGACAGTGCCACTTATCTTGCATCATTCACACTGCATAGCCACCAACCAATCGCTAACTTCTGTACACACGTACTCCATAACAAGATCCCTATGAAGAGAAGAGGACTAATCAGTTAAAGTAAGAGCACAGGGGGGCGATAAATGTTGGTAGTTTGTACACTGACCCGTACAAGAAGAATACGAATGACACCTATCTGCATTTATTTACTTTTAAAAATCAGTCACTCACTATTACATCTTACAATCCTTCATGTATAACCCTTGTCAGTTTCCTTTATAAAGCCAAGTTTTCATTTTCTCTTTCAGAATAGGTCGACAGGATATAGCATAAAAGTATTAAATAACATCTTAAAATACTGGCTAATTCAAGTAAAAGATATGAGCGAATCTTTGATGGATCCTTGGAAGAAGACACAGCAAAGTTGCATTAAATTTATCTTCTACCTATAAAACTTTACCAAATATTAACATTCAAATACAAAAAGTGGCTTTCTGTCTTTCTATTTATAAATTTTGCAATATATTCTATGTATACATTTATGCACGACGCAAGAAAGCAGGGTTTCTGTCCAGGGCTTTTGCAAGAGAGGATTTGAGCCTCTCAAGCCCTCACTCAAATGGAGTTTGATGATGATGTATACATTTGAGTATTATTTCTTTTGACGAAGTGTATTTATTTTCATGATTTAAAGCTAAACATGTTTGAGCCTTATTTAAATGCTACAAATGTCCTTATATTTGGACTTCCTAAGACTTCCGACTTTGTGAGCAGGAGGGGAATGAACCAGCACAGGAACCGACCAAAAAAGTTACGGGTCAGTGACTTTACTAACTTGCCAGCAAGGAATCAACCTAACCCTTTTCTTCTGTTTATTGATTTATTGATCTAGATCTAAACTAGTTCCTATGGAAAGAAATGCACACAATGGCGCGGCTTCTCAGTAATAAAAGAGTAACCTAATGCACTGAACTATTGAATAAAGGAAAGAAAAGTCAAGTTCCCCTTTCAGACCTTACGATCTAAAGGGCAGATGATGTAAAGGTCATCTATTTCTTGGCCAACGGTTAACGAGCAGGGTGTCAAGTGGCCAGCACAACGACAAACCGCCTTTATTTTCCCTTTAGAGTTGGGTGGACTCAGGGTCGACCTCAAAATCCCGAAATTCAAAATTCCAGTCTTCACTGAGATTCGAATCCAGGATCCAGCTTTTTTTTTTTGATTCACGTGTTTGTTTGTTTTTTGTTTTGCTTTATTTTTAGTTTAAAATTTTGATTCCAGAGTGATCAAGAAAGTGCACAAAAATTGTAATATTTGTAAATTTCACGAGAAAGATACTATGTTACTGACGCCATACAGAATTTCAGTGCTGTCTAGTGACGCCATACAGAACTTCAGTGCTGTCTAGTGACGCCATACAGAACTTCAGCGCTGTCTGCTGACGCCATACAGAACTTCAGCGCTGTCTGCTGACGCCATACAGAACTTCAGCGCTGTCTGCTGACGCCATACATAACTAAATGTGCTACAAACGAAAGAGCCCGGACAATTTCCTTCTCTAGTGCTCTACTTGTGCACAAAAATGATCATCTAATTTTTTAAAACATAGTACTTTTGTTTATGTGCACCGACCACACTAAATCTTGCTATTTATTTATAGCATTTATAGATGTATATGCTATCTATTTTATATAAATGAATATCTAGCACTCTCTCTTTATCCCTCTCGTCTGAATGAAACTTTTATTCAAACTTTCAGGGACAGTACAACGACCTATAGATTTGTGTGCGTGTGTAAAGTGTAATTGCTTCACCAAAGAAAAAAACAAACAAATCAATGCAAAACAAGAAGGTCTATTGGTTTTACGAACCAGACATGCTCCTCATTATCTATGTAAATGTATATAGTATGTATATGTTTACATCTCAAATAAAATCGATAAAGGCGCTATTTACATTAATATCAGAAAAAAACATATGCAATGCTTATAATCACCTGACAACTGGTTTGCCCAAATGTTGATTTTTCAATCGTTAAAAAATTGAAGTTTTTTTGCAGACACAAAGTTGCCCATATATCATTTTCATATAGAAATGTATGCAAGGATATAGATTTAAGTTATAGCTTTTCGGTCATTATGTTAGTCAGGGTTGTGTTTTAGCCTTAACTCCTTATCCCGGGCCCCTGATATGCTGATTGCTATGGTTGAATTCTACTGTTTTACTTCTAAAACGATTTCAATTTATGATTTTTTTTTAAAGCTCCAAATTAAGGAAATGAAATAAGTGAAAATTTTTATTCTCTAAGCTTTAAACCTTTTTTTTCAAATTTCATCACAAGAAGAATTTTAAAAAATACCTTCTTGTAGATTTTCACCCATGTTCAAGATCTAGTAAATATTGTTTCTGGCATTGAATTCAGAAAATAAAAATCTCGATAATCGTGGAAGAGATTTAGAGAAACCTGCGATAAATAAAAAAAAAACATTCCCGACAATTAAGACAAGAAGTTTTGATGTTTAAAACGAGTTTTCCTGGAGGTGAAAAAAAACTATGTGTTCGAAGTAATTTAGTTCAGTTATTTAGACAGAAAACCTACCCATGACCGCTTGATATCAAGGATAAAAAAAAGTTACAATAAATCAAAGAATATTATACACTTTCTATAGAGCACTCAGAATTAATCACAAATAAATAGTTCCAGTATGTTGATAAGTGATTCCCAAAGTGTTCTATATAGACCCCCAGGGGTCTACGAAGACTTCCAAGGGGTCTACGAAAGTGAAAAAGTAAAGTGGGGGT